CTGTTATGTGGGTTCAGGAGGAGGGGGAGATTGTGTATGTAGAGTGAGGAGGGGTGGTTGTGTGTTATGGTGTGTGGTCAGGAGGAGGAGAAGGGCCCAGATGTGATGGCAGGAAGGCTGATGACAGGGGAGGGGGTTTCCAGGAAATGGTGGAAGGGGAAGGGGGAGAATGTTAAGGACGCGTGAGGGGGAGGGAAGGGGAGGAGGGGGTGTCCGGAGGTGCCTGTGATTTTGCATAACGGTATAACAACACCGATATGGCGGCGTTAGTGGTTTCAACGTGTTTGTGAGAAGGTTCAACATACATTAAGGACAGTCAGACAATAGGCGTGTGTGTGGTGTAGATGAGAGAGAAAAGATGAGGGAGAGGCGAGAGGGAGAGAGAGCAGAGTAGAGAGAGAGAGATTGAGAGAGAGAGAGAGAGAGAGAGAGAGAGAGAGAGAGGAGAGAGGATGTGAGAGGATAGAGAGACGATGAGAGAGGAGCGGAAGGGAGGGAGGGGAGAGAGAGAGGGACGAGAAGAGGAGATGTAGGAGGTTGTGTGTAGAGAGAATGGTAGAGACTTGGGATGAGAGAAGAAAGAGATGAGATGTGTGTTTGTGTGTTATGTCGTGTGTACGAGTTGGTCCTGTGTGTGTGACTGTGTTGTGTGTGTGTGTGTGTGTGAATGTGTGTGGTGTGTCGCGATGTGTGTGCCACCAGAATGTTGTGTGTGTGTGTGGATGTGTGTGTGTGGGTGGATTGATGGATGTCGTGTGTGTGTGTGTGGTGGTGTTGTGGTGTTGTGTGTGTGTTGTGTGTGGTGTGTGATCCGTGGGTGTTGGGAAAATAGGGAGTTGAAAAGGGAAAAGGTATATTGACGGACAAGTTGCAGATTAAAAAGATCAAGTGAGAACGAGAGAAAAAGGAGGACAGACAGACAGACACAGAGAGATAGAGACCGCGAGTTGAGAGTCAATACAGGGCCATTATTGTGCCAGCTAATGACGATGACGAGCCAGACAAGAGTACATAAGTTGTAATCCGTACTCCTAATGAGCAAGATGAAATGGTTTAATCATGTTTATTTACTTAGTCTACCCTCCTTAAGAAACCAAGGCCGGGTCCATTTTCTTTGATTTTTTTTAATCGAATAGAATTATCTCACGGAAGAAGGTTGATCCTTCTTATTTGTTGCACAGTGAGAGAGGATGAGAGAGATGAGAGGGTAGCGAGTATGCTGTAGGGCTAGGTGCTATCGTTGATATTGGTATGGTGTCGTAGTTCGCGATGGCTAATGTAGTTACTTATGTTCTTATTCATATTAATTTTATCTACTTGTCAGATATCTGTGATTATATATGAGCGACGCCTATCTTAGTAAGTATTGACTATCTCTTATCTATTATAATTACTATAACTGTCTACTATTTAGTCTTAGTCTAGGTATTACTTACTTATTATACTGAGCGCGGTATATCTTACTATACTATATATTACTGTATTATCTTATATGCTGATGTCATGTAGTCTGTTATGTTACCATAGTGGTACTTAATCTGTCGATCTTCTATCTATCTATCTTTTAATCTATCTGAATCTACATTATATATTACTTAATCTAATTCTATTATATTATCTTTACTATAAGTACTATATATTCATAGATATATATATATGATGCTATCTATCTATCCTTGCGCTGTCGCTTGCTGCTCCCGCGGTGCGTGTGTGGTTGTCCCTTATACTTGCTTACCGTATATAGTGTATTCGGTCATGTTATTATCCAATCAGTCATCTAATCTACCCTCTTTTCCTGCCTCTTCCACCCGTCGTTCCGTTCCCCCCGCGCTCCACACTTTTACTCTCAATTTTAATGGTACCTTTCCTGTCGAAGCGTTCACACCCTTTCAGTTAAGTATCGCGCGTCATTCCCACGTCCAAACGCCCCATCTTTTCTGCGTCCCTTTTCATCGCATTTCGCTCCTTCGTGGTGTCGTTATATTTTCCATTTTTCCTTATCTTATGTTATTGCTTCTTTTCTTTTCTTGTATTGTGTGCGGAATTTGCTTTCTTTCTGTGATTGCGCTTTCCTCTTTGTTGTTTTTTCTTTTTTTTACGGGTCTCCGACCTTAATCGTGTTTGTGTGTATGTTGCTTCCTATGTTTCTGGTTGTTTACTCTCTTTCTCGAGTGTTTTCTCTTTCTCTTTTTTTTTTTTGTGGTCCGTGGATTTCCCCAATCCCTTGTCATTGTCGTGCTCATACGGACCTTGTCTCGGTTACGTTTCTCCCTCTTCTAAGCAACGGGCAGACGGATACCACAAACAGGGCGGACATAGACAGTGTCTCAGGGATACCATTTCAGCAGAACCAATAACCAACTCTCTGCGCACGAGTCAATTAACTCCAACCCCTGGCTGCTGCCCATTGTATTCTGATATGATACTAACAAAAATCTGCTACACATTTAATATTGAGGAAGAAAGGCACACCGTCCTGCGCATAATAGCCATTAGTTATTCGCAGATATTAATAAGCAAAAAAGCTTACTACTTTTCGAAAAGGCTCCCCACTCGTCCTGCTAAATGAATACGGCCAAAGACAAATACCACCCGCTGCTTCTCGCTTACTCAGTTCTTAGTGAAAACTCTATCTTTCGAACTCTGCTCTCTCTTCCTTGCTGCATATAAAACAGTCGATGCTTACACTTGAAATCAGCTCTGTGAAAAAATATTGTATCATTCATTCTGTTCATTCACTAATTGTCAAATGATGCCTTTGATAAGACTCATCTCTCTCATACTGTTCGTCTCACCGTACCTGACCTCATCCATAACGCTGTGCTTCTGCCTGCATTTCATTCATCGCTCCTCGGCTTAGCTTCGAATTCCTTCCGGTCTACAACCACTCTCACGTTCTCTTCCGTCGTACATTTCCTTATGGTTTTGCCGAAAAAATACTGACTTGAATTCGTTTGATCGCGTCCTATATGAAGTCTAGCATGCTTGACAGGAAAAGTGCTACGTTCCATTCTCACT